CTCTCTCTCTCTCTCTCTCTCTCTCTCTCTCTCTCCCCTTCCCTCACCCCACTTATCTGCTCTGGGATCTGTGGAGATGCCAGCCCTGCCCAGCCAGAGATGCCAAAAATGGGGACATGACTTCTTGGCAGAGTACATGGGCCACGCACGCCCCCTGTGCCCCCCCCCCCCCCCACGACGGCTTTATTACCTCATATGCAGCTCATCTTAAACCAATAGAATCGCTCGGTGGACGGGAGTGTCTGACTCAGATATCTACCTCGGAGGGAGTTTCTGCTACTTTAGGGAATTGTTGACTGGGCTTTGGGGTTGAACTTTTTTTTAAAGGAAAGAAAAATTAACCTTGGGATCCATCTGTATTCTTTTTAATTTTTATTTCGGGGATTTTTGGTGGTGGTGGTGGTTCTTAATTTTTAATTTAGTTTGGGGAAGTAGATGTTTTTATAAAGATGTTGATTTTTTTTTTCATTTCTTGCTTTCCCACATTAGGGGTGATAGCCAAAGGGGTCATGATAAGAAAAAGGGGAACAAACAGAACTGGTGAAGAGGCCTGCCTCCTCTCCTGTTCATCAGGAAGTACATTTAGCAGGGCACCAAGCCTGCCCCCCTGAAATCACTTAGGTGTTCTCCTTCGCTTCCAAGGTCACTGAGGTGTTCTTTGCTCCTGCAGGCAGCTTTCTGCTGCATTTGGTGTGGAAGCAGTCAGGGCTTGCTCTGCCAGCCTGTTCCCCACCACCCTTGGGCAGGGCTAGACTCGGTAATTTTGAGCAAATGTCACCTTCCCCTGTGAGTGACACATCTAAAATCTTTCTTTTAAACCACTATTTGCAGATTGGAGGGGGAAGAATGGGGAGGGGGTTTATTGCCAAATATGTTAAATATGGGTTGGGGTGTTTGTGTATGTATCTCCCTCAGTTTCCCCAGAAACGAGGTATCTTTTTTTTTTTCTCAGTCCAAAATCGAGAGGGTGGGGAGAGAGAGGAGGGAGGCTGCAAAAAGCCAGGTATGAGGGAAGGTAAAATCACCACTGTCCCACCCTCGGCCCTGAACCCTACTATCTGAACCCTTCAAATATCCTCAGGATTTCACAAGACTGTCAGTAGGGAACCCCTCCCGTCAAAGATCTAGGCAGGACTGGGGGGCAGGTTGGGAGTGTGATGGGTGGGGGCGGGAGGCATGGGCCTGGGGCAGTTCTCTCCTCACTTGTAAACTTGTAGTTTCACAGAAAAAAAAAAACGCAGTTTTAAATAAAGAAATTTCTTTTTTCCCTGGGTTTAGTTGAGAATTCTTTTCAAAAACATGAGAACTTTTTTTCTCTCATAAAGCCCCAAACGGGATTTTCCCCCCGAGTTCCCCAGCCTTGCCCTCACCCCCCAGGCCCCAGGTTTCACCCCTGCCTCCTCTCCATGGGAAACAGCCAGACCTGAACCCTGTTGCCTAGCAACCTGGCCTAGTCGTCCAGTAGCCCTGGGTGGTCTGGTGCAATAGGTTGGGGGTCCTGAGGGGATGAGAGACCCTAGGAGATGCACTCCCCACCCCCATGGATGTGACTGTACCCAGAGGCTGGCAGTGCCCAGGGGTGGGGTGACAGCTGTTTCTCCCAGTACCTGAAGGACTCTTGTCTGAGAGAGGCATGAATTCCTAGCATTCCCTGTGACGGGACAAGATGGGGGAGATGGGGGCAGGGGAGAGGGCACAAGCCCCACCTAGGGTGGTGGCCACAGCAGCAAGGGGCAGACAGAGCCAGGAGCCTGGGAAGGAAGCAGGATGGCAGCAGGGGCAGCAGCTGGAGCCTGGGTGCTGGTCCTCAGTCTGTGGGGTGAGCCCTGCCCCCCACCCCCACACCAATCCTCCCCGCAGAAAGCACTCTGTCCCTGTCCCCGAAACTCCCCACAACTTTCCAGGAACCTGGGTACTGCTTTTCAATCTCCCTCATCCGCCCTGTTCTAGTTTTATTAGCTCCCATCTCCCTTCCTGCCCCTTCACTGTGGTGCTGTCTCCCAGGGGCAGTAGTAGGGGATCAAAACATCACAGCCAGGATCGGGAAGCCACTGGTGCTGAACTGTAAGGGGGCCCCCAAGAAACCACCCCAGCAGCTGGAATGGAAACTGGTAAGTGGGGCTCCTGTCTCCCCACTTCCGGAGAGACCAATGACGATTCACATCTCCTCCTCCCCACCTCCCTACCTCCCTACCTCCCTACCTCATCAGCCCTTTCCCAAACGGCTTGCACTGTTGAGGCCCCTCTCCTCTGTCCCCAGAACACAGGCCGGACAGAAGCTTGGAAGGTCCTATCTCCCCAAGGAGGCCCCTGGGATAGCGTGGCTCGTGTCCTCCCCAACGGCTCCCTCCTCCTGCCGACTGTTGGGATCCAGGATGAGGGGACTTTCCGGTGCCGGGCAATGAGCCGGAATGGAAAGGAGACCAAGTCCAACTACCGAGTCCGAGTCTATCGTAAGGGTTCCAGGGCCTTGTTCACAGCCCACCTCTCATCTAAGGAAAAGCCTTCTACCCCAGCCCTTGACTCCTGGGCCCTGGCCTGTGAGAACTTGACTTCAGCTGCCCCCATTCCCACAGCTGGGGTGTATCTTCAAAGCTGCAGCCTCTGATTGGAATTTTCCCTCCTTCAGAGATTCCTGGGAAGCCAGAAATTGTTGATCCTGCCTCTGAACTCATGGCTGGTGTCCCCGATAAGGTAGAAGAAAAGGCGAGATGTGGAAAGGGGTCCTGAGAATGGGAGGGGAGTGTAGCTGTGTGTGTGTGTGCATTCTCTTATTTTCAAAGACGATGAGGTCACTTTTTCCCCAGGTGGGAACATGTGTGTCCAAGGGGGGCTACCCTGCAGGGACTCTTAGCTGGCACTTGGATGGGAAAACCCTGATACCTGATGGCAAAGGTGAGTCCCAGCGTCTCCCCTCCTAGCTAGCTGCCTTCTTTATGATCGCTCTCCCATACCCACCCTGGAATGTCTTGCCTTGTCCTCCCCCCACCATAGGAGTGTCTGTGAAGGAAGAGACCAAGAGACACCCTGAGACAGGGCTTTTCACACTCCGTTCGGAGCTGATGGTGACCCCAGCCCGGGGAGGAGCTCCCCACCCCACCTTCTCCTGTAGCTTCAGCCCTGGCCTTCCCCGGCGCCGAGCCCTGCACACGGCCCCCATCCAGCTCAGGGTCTGGGGTGAGCGCAGAACTGGGGAGGGCCCCAATTTGGGTGAGCACCTGTCAGAAGGTATGACCCTCAGGAAGGAGAGGGTTAAGCCCATGGCCACTGGGACCATAGACAGGTGTAACTCTCAACCTCATGCCCCTCCCCACCCCCAGAGCCTGTGCCACTGGAGGAAGTCCTGTTGGTGGTGGAGCCAGAAGGTGGAGCAGTAGCTCCTGGTGGTACCGTGACCTTGACCTGTGAAGCCCCTGCCCAGCCCCCTCCTCAAATCCACTGGATCAAAGATGTGAGTGACCTGGAGAGGGGGCTGGCAGGTAGTGAGATACGTCGTTGGCAACTAGGAGGGCAGGGGGTTCATGGAGAGCGAGGCAGGCGAGGAGGTACAAGGGTATCTGATGATGTGGAGGCAAAGACAGCAGTACGGGATGTGTTGGCAGGAGTTCTGATAGTCCCCTGTTGGGGCTTCCCTGGTGGCGCAGTGGTTGAGAGTCCACCTGCCGATGCAGGGGACACGGGTTCGTGCCCTGGTCCGGGAAGATCCCACATGCCGCGGAGCGGCTGGGCCCGTGGCCGCTGAGCCTGCGCATCCGGACGGAGCCTGTGCTCCGCAATGGGAGAGGCTGCAGCGGTGA